GTGTGTGTGTGTGTGTGTGTGTGTGTGTGTGTGTGTGCGTGCGTGTGTGTGTGTGGGGGGGGGGTTTATGTATAGTACTGTATACAGCACAGCCATCCCATTAGTGCATAGCTTATTATAGCCATGGATTGACATATGCTACAAAGGTGGTCATGTGCGGGGTTTAGGGGTCAAGGTTAACTTAGGAGCATGTTAGAGTTAGCATGTTAGGGATTAGGAGAGGGCATAAGCCCAACCATAGGGGGGGGGCACGCCCTAAAGCGCGCTTTTCGCTGCTTAGCACCCATAGCAGCTCATCAGAGGGGTTAGAATTAGTAAAGGCTCCTGTTAGCATTCGGGGTGGGGGATGGGGGATAGGTGAGCAAAGAATCATAGGTTCCAAGGTTGAACAGAGTTACATGTTTAGCGAGTTCGTACCTGGGCTGTCATGGCTGGTGTCACTGCAGAGTCAGTCCCCGCCATAGCATGAAGATCGTAGCGTAGCGTGGTATCAGAAGGCTTACGTCGTAAGCGGATTGCCCAAGACACCGTAACACGCCAGACTGTTCCTATGAACCAGAATCAGTACTTGAGCAGATCTGCTCAAGTAGGGAAGATGTGGATGGAGAGGCGTCATGCAGCATGAAGCAGAATGTCGGTGTTGATGGTATGGCAAGTAGCAAGGAGTATAAGTAGTGAAGTTGCGTGTGCCATTTACGGCATGGTCGTTGGTAGCGCTGTGCATGCCATGGGTGCTTTGCGTAGTTGGTAAATTCGTGGGGTATTATTAAGGGGTAATTACTGGGGTAGGGAGGAGCGTAGGGTGTGTGGTTTAACCACATTGTTGGTGATTAAGGTGGGAGGGCGGGTAAGTTAGCATGGAGATAGCAGAGAGCGGGATGGGGAAAACAATAGGTCAGGAAGAAGGAAGTTTTCATACGTAATTTGCTGGCGGGGTTGGGGTAGATGATGTATGTTCTGTGAGCAGGCGTAGTTGGGCAAGGTCAGGTTGACGCTGCTTTTTGTTTATTGTCTTGTAGTGCTTGGGGTTATTTGGTGGGAGACAGTCTATGGTGGTGTTGTGCTGTGTTGCACATGTGTTTGTCCTGTAGTGACGTTCCGAGGTGGTGCGTCACCTGGAGGTATATATATATATATATATATATATATATATATATATATATATATATATATATATATATATATATATATATATATATATATAAATAAAAAATGTATTTGTTTTGCGTTGCAGATGTGCTGCTCGATCGTTGAGAGGGGGGAATCGACGTGGGGAGCTTGCTAGGGGCATGCCTGTATGAGGTTCGAATAGGTTGTAGGAAACCGTGTAGTGGGGAGCTTTGGTTCGTAGGGAAATATGGGATATACTATGGCTGTGCCGGCGTTGTTGTAGCTGTATACTTCATAGATGTAGTGTCATCGTATGCAGTTTGTTTCGTAGTGCATTACATTCGGACATTTTCCGTCGTAAGTGGCTATGGCGGTAATCGCTTTTCGTCGTATCTACTTTTTCTTCCTCGTGCGTGTGTTTGTATTCTAGTGTGTCAGTCGCGCCGTTTCAGGATGGCCATGACGTATACGAAAATAAGAATTTTGCTGTTTTTTTCGTCTTCCACTCGTATTTTGTTTTTTAGTTTGTTATTATTTCTATAACTTTACATTTTTATCAATAGGAAGCTGGGGACACATAACTGGTTTGTCTGGCATAGTTTTGTGTTATACATACCAGAGCCTGATGAAGTTGTACTATGAGGTGTTGGTTAAGTTATCGGTGGGTTGAAACTTAGGGTTGCAGGCAATCATTTGCTCGTACCTGTGTTCGAGGGTTTTTTTTTAAGGGTCTAATAGATTGGTTATATTCTTACCTTATTACTTTTGCTTTGTATATTTGTGTTTTAGTTAATTTATTATTACGGTTTTACGACTTTAACCTATTAATTTTATTTTGTTTTCGTTATTTATTTATTTGTATTGTTTGTTTACTCATTAATTTATCTACTGATTTTTTTTTATTATTTTTTTTTTTACTATTTATTTATTTATTTATTAAAAAGTCGGTTTAATTATTTTATTTATTTATGTAGTTATTTTAGTATTTATATTTTTATTTATTTATTTATTTATTTATATTTTTATTTATTTATATTTTTATTTATTTATATTTTTATTTATTTATATTTTTATTTATTTATTAGTTTTTTAAAGGAATTGTTTTATTAATTTGTTTNTTTTTTTTTTTTTTTTTTTATTATTATTAGGAATATTTAATATTTATTATTTATTTATTATTCTACTTTAATGTTTTGTTACTGATTTTCCAGATTTCTTTAATAATGTATTATGGTGTTTAGTTGTACATGTGTGTGTGTGTGTGTGTGTGCGTGTGTGTGTGCGCGTGTGCCAGAGGTAGTGAAGGGAGGACCCCTCCCCAACCAATCAATCAATCAATCAATCAATCAATCAAGCAAGCAAGCAAGCAAGCAAGCAAGCAAGCAATTAATCAGTCAATCAATCATTTTTTTTATTTTTTTTTTTCTCATTTTTTTTGTCACACACCAAAAACCACCCCCCCCAATTTTTTAATTGTTTTTTTTCTTTATAGGGTGACAACGGTCGAGTTGGGTCGACGTGCGCAAGCCACGCGCGCGCGCCTTTGCCTAGGCCTGGCGCGGCCGCGCGCAAAATCGGCCACGAGGCCTCGGCTGCGGGCCCGCGGCTGGCCTCCTCGGCCGCAGGATCCGCGACCGACGGTGCCACATAGACTTGCACTACCTGGGCGACAAGGCTCGCACATATATGCTTCGATCAGGGCTGAGTGGGGTGTGTGAGATTCAACTTAGCCCTGGTACCTGCAACCGTGGTCCGGTCAGGTCAGCCCCATGGCTGGAGGGTGACGATCCTGAGTGGTAGACACTGAGGTAGGATAGTGGGAGTAGGAGTGTGGGAGGGAAATTACAAAAGAGGTAGGTTGGGAGGGAGTCCTATAGGATTAGGTGGCCTCTACCACATGGCTGAGTGCCGAAGGTTACTCTCATATGTCTGTAATCCAGCCTCCACAACAACCTGGGCTTAAAAAAAAAAAAACGGGTTGTATTAAAAAAAAATCAAAAACATAAAAACAAATTAAAAAAAAGACACTTACACAGACATAGACACAAACACACAGCGCACAAACACACATAAACACACATATGCATGCACACATATATACACACACCAACAATCACGCACACACACACACACACACAGACTTACAAACACACACATACTTCCGGGCTATGTGGCACCCTCGCCCGCAGGCGCCGCCTATTTGGCCGCTGTCGAGTTTGCATGCGGCCTCGTCAAGACCAGGCGGGGGCACACGCGAAAAAACGGGGCGAGTGCCCCGCCTGCGCACGTCAACCGCTACCACCCTGTACAAAAAACAAAATTACAAATTTGAAAATTTGGGGGGGTGGTTTTTGGTGAGTTGGCATTGGTCTGCAGTTCTGGATTGTTTTTGTGTATGGTCTGTGCTTTTTTGGTGTATTAGGATGAGTTCCCCGCTAGGAGGAGCTCGTACGCAGATAGTTTTTGGGTTTGCGGTCGGAATGGTTTCGGTAGGCTCGGGCGGCATATGTAGGGACTGTTACTACTTGGCACTTAGAGTGTTCCATGAACCTTGAGATAGTGTCGGGTACCATTTGGGACATGGGAATTTGATGGGTGTTTACCAGACGACTGTAATGGGTCGCGCTTACGAACCGTCCCACTTAGCCATGCAGTACGTAGACTATAAAGGTCGTAGCTACGATAAACTCGACCTCTTACGGGGCGCTCACTACCGCTTGCGGTGGTGACCGTCGGGTATGTGGAACGCATGGTGGTTCTTGGGGTGGTGAAAAGTTGGTTGCCGCAACTATCGAGGAATTGTGCTTCTCTGTGTGATCTACTTGCTGTGTATGTCCAGTCACATTTGGTTTGACTTGGCTTGCAACTACATTGTGACTTTGATTGATGCTATCGAAGGCGCGTGTGAACGATCCCGGAGTCAAGTAGCTGGGATAAGTGAGCTCGAGGTACTGGTGTTACTGGTGTTACTTGGGTATTCGTCCATTCCGTCTATCTGTCTACCTCGGAAGTACGGAGTTGCATCGGGCATTACGACTTTGAAGAGCTACCACGGTGACGGTTGTGGTGCTTCGGCTGTCCGTATTGTTGCAGCGAACGCCAGTCCGGGATTGCCGGAGAGGGTTGGACATCGTGGCCAGAGACCGGTGGTGCGTTCTCCGATGATATGGCGGGCCATGGGGATGGTTGATACTATGGCGGCAGCGACCGTAATTGTGGCGGTAATGGACGTGACTATGGAGGATACCGAGTTTACGGTGGAGGACATCGTGGTTATGAGAGTGACCGGGGTGATGGAGGTGACAGGGGCTATGATGGCGACCGAAGGACGAGAGGTGAAAGGAATTTTGATAGAGGCGCGAGGCGAGGACCACTGATCTGCTTTAACTGTGATGAACCGGGTCACTATGCGAATCAGTGTCCTTTTCCAAGACATAACGCGCAACCCTCGATGTCGACAAGTCGGGGTGATGGGAGTCCTACGCGTACTAGTGGGAACAGGCGTCAGACTGTAGAACCATTGGTGTCGAAAGTAGCCGAGATCGGCAAGAGTGTTGCAGCGGTTTGTCAATACGTGGAGTTGGAGCAACGGAAAAGGGCGGCGAAAGAGCGCAGGAAGGCGGAGCGGAAAGAAGTGGAGGAACGAGCTGAGGCTGAACGAGCAGCAGCGACACTGAGCAAGAAAAAGAAGGAAGAACAAGCACGTAAGGACGCGGAAGCTAAGGAAGAGCTGCACAAAAGTTTGGACGGCTGTGCGGTAGGAGAATTGCGTGAAGATGTGCGGGAGGACGTTCCGCAAGAGATCCGCAAAGCAATCAATGAGTTATGCATGGCTGTCGCTCGCGGGAAGCAGAAGTGGATCCCGTTGAGCCTGCGGAGGGGAGCAGCGATAGTAGTAGCGAAACGGAAGAGTTGAACTTCCAGACACAACGTTTATGCATCTCTGAGAAGCGCAAACGTGGAGCGGAGGTGGATATCGAAGGCAGTCCTCCGATGAAATTGCCCCCCAAGCGCACACCAAGGCGTGCGGCACGAGGTATCGGTGGATCAGGAAGGCTGACAAGATCGAGGGCGCGCACACAGAAGGCCGCCACGCCGAAGAAGACGCCACCGTCAATACGTAAGAAGACCCCGGCGACCATTGGGGTAGTCGGGAGATTGAGATTCGAGAAGCGGGTTCTTAACGACCTGAAGAATCTTGACGCTCTCGTTCTGCAGAACATATGTAAGGATAATGGTATTCCTTACAATGGAAAGATTGAAGCGATTTTTGACATCGCTGCGCACCGTACACACGTTGCGTATGAGACTGATAATGACGAAGAGGTTATTGCTCCACCTGTGGTGAGTGCAGATGCAAGTGCCGATGAGGATCGTGAGGAGGAGGAAGGGTGATGCGCCCTCAGTATTGCCGACTTGTGGTGCATTGTTCAATGCTTGACGAAGTTACGTACTCTGATTGATGGCGTGGATGCTCGTGTTGAGGAGTTGTTAAGACTTGCGGTTGTGAACTTGTCTCTGTATGGGGTCATACGTTGGACTCGTAAATGTATTGATTCGTGGGTGTACTTTCGGACCGGATTTCGTAAATATTCGATCTAGTGTCTATGTGGCGTTATCTCCGTATTGTAAATCTTTGTACGTTGGTAAGACCACAAGGCACCTGGACGTCCGATGGCGTGAACACATTTATGCATTGAGGAACCGTGCTCCTAATCATTTTTACCGTTGGATGAGAAGTTATGGTATCGTGAACTATGTACTACCTGTGGACACAATCATTAATGATGAATTGACGAAACTTGAGTTGGTGTATATTCGGCAGTGGTCCCCCTTCCTCAATACTTCTTGGGTGCGTAAGAGTAGTCGACGGAAGGTGAAGGGTAAGTCATTGGGGAAGAATGAACGTGCACGCCTGGTATCGTTGAGGTGCACGCAGCGACCGGTCACACGAATTCGGTTTCGTCTAACGTTGACCGATGATTGACAATTAGATATTTTTAATGTATTGAAAAGCCAGGAGTCGGATGGGGTCCATCGTTTTGCGATCCATAGTAGTGGGGGGAATACTTGGCAGACCAAGTGGAAGAGTATTGTGCGAAAATTCGGTGACACTAAAGTGTCAAGACATGCTGAAACATGTCTATTGAGGGAGTGTAAAGGCTGGTTTGAGGCTGAGGGACAACTGTTGATTGAGCATCTCGACTGTTTTGATCTTAGCTTGAGTGCTGACTTGCTTATCAGGGTCTAGTTTGATGATAGAATTAGTATGTGTGAATTACGTAAGGCGGTCAATGATATTCTGATGGAATGCAACTTACCTTCTTGCTTCTTACAAAGGACACGTAGAAAGACTGTATTGTCTGGCTTAAAAACCAGACGGTCGGGGATCTACTGCACAATCACAGACAATTCAGTGCATGTAATGTGATGACCTGTCAATGCGCACGATTACCCTACCCACGGATGGGAGGGCACGTGCACTTTCGTTTGAGAAAGGAGTTTGTTGATAACCCTTTGTTGGCCAACGCTAATAATATCCCACTGGCACATAGGACTGATCGTCTTAGGTCCTTACGTTCGGAGGTAGAGCAGGGCTTCTCCAACTGGAAAAACCTACGTGGCGAGTCGCGAGCATACAGTTGGACATGCCGAAGTCATGTATGAATGCGGCGGGTGAAACCAGTAGGGATCGCCTGTTCTTTCGGGACGTGAAACAGGTGAAGCAGCAGTTTGATGGACTGGTACTCACCCCTTTTGACCGTAACCCGGGAGAGACAGTGGTGATGTGTCCGAAGATTTATTTTGAGGCAATGATGGACACTTTTGTTCGTAATACTGCATGTACTGTTGTGTCGGCTCCTGAAACGGTGGTGTTACGAGAAGTCTAAGAGGATATGAAAGCAGCCGGTCTATTGAAGTTTGTCCAATGGGAAAACAAGGGTGCACTAGGATCTGCCTATGTCATTCCAAAACATAAGGATTTGACTAGGTATCGTCCTATCTGCCCAACCTATAGCGAGCCAATGGTTCATACGGGAAGGGTTGTCGCCAAAGGGCTGAATTTCCTGTTGGCCCGGATGCCTACCAACTGTCATTTTAATCTCCCTGCAGTCTCGATGCTGAGAACAAAACTTGATGTAGTTAACTCAAAAATTCGGGGATCTCAGGGACCGGTTAACGTCACGTCGCGTTGTTATGATATTAAAGATATGTTTAGTAAATTACCTCATGTTGACATAGTGAAGGCGGTAAGTTGGCGGGTAAACCATCATGTGGCGAAGGGGCGAAAATTTGTTCGGGTCAACACGAGGGGACGTGGAGCTTCATTTGGTAGCTCGAATGGAGCTGATCACTGGAGGAGAATTGACTTCGGAGATTTGGTACAGTTTGTGTCAATTGACCTACGGCATACATACACCTGTGCAACGACAGTGTTGCTCCGACAGGACGTGGGCATACCAATGGGCAAGAGCACGAGCCCCCCGTTGGCATGCATCCTGTGTGCATACTCTGAGCATTTGTTCCTCAACGGTTTGGGGCGCTTCACCCGATACGTGTTTGGTATTCGTTTGGTTGACGATGTGATGCTGGTAATCGCGTCGCTCATAGGAAAAACTCTTGATTGGGTACTACAGTGCTTTTCGAATTGTTACCCGCGTAATCTCTCTCTGAAGCGGACGGATACTGGTAATGGCATTGTTGACTTTTTGGGTTGTAAGGTCAGGTGCGCTCACCAGTACCCGTACCTGGGATGCGTGCAAATGTCACGCAATGAGACTAGTGTGTGGACACTGGATGGGTTGGAATTCCAGACGGGACAGTCTTTTTTGTTCTGGGGCAGCAAACAGCAAAAGAGCGCGGCAATTGGGAGTTATCTTCATCGGATTAACCAGAATACGTCGATCCGAAGTGAGATTCCGGCACGGGTGTTGTCATTACGACGTGAACTTCGTCGCAAAGACGTGCCTGCTGCATTCTCTAAGCGAACGTTAAAAAGATTTGCCTTTCGACGGGATGAAATTTGGAAGCAAGCTGTGGATTTGGTGACAGGGTGGTGAATGGACGGACAGGTTTTTGGGTAATCACACCGTTTTGCATTTGCTTGGCATGTTGGCATTGGTCTGCAGTACTGGATTGTTTTTGTTGGTGTATTAGGATAAGTTCCCCGCTAGGAGGGGCTCGTACGCAGATAGTTTTTGGGTTTGCGGTTGGAATGGTTTCGGTAGGCTCGGGCGACCCATGTAGGGACTGTTTCGAACTTGGTAACTATAGACAGTACTTTTACTACTTGGCACTTAGAGTGTTCCATGGACCTTGAGACAGTGTCGGGTACCATTTGGGACATGGGAATTTGACGGGTGTTTACCGGACGACTGTAATGGGTCGCGCTTACGAACCGTCCCACTTAGCCATGCAGTACGTAGACTATATAGGTCGTAGCTACGATAAACTTGACCTCTTACGGGGCGCTCACTACCGCTCGCGGTGGTGACCGTCGGGTATGTGGAACGCACGATGGTTCTTGGGGTGGTGAAAAGTTGGTTGCCGTTACTATCGAGGAATTGTGCTTCTCTGTGTGATCTACTTGCTGTGTATGTCTAGTCACATTTGGTTTGACTTGGTTTGCAACTACGTTGTGACTTTGATTGATGCTTTGGGTGAGTGACAATTTATTTTTTTTTACTTGAATTTTTTTTTTTGATTGATTGACTGTTTTTTTTATTGATTGATTGATTGGTTGATTGCTATGTAACACCGGCGGCCGCGGTCGCCGCGGGCACGGCCGCGAGCCCGCGGTCATGACCGAGGCAACCGCGGAATGCCGCGGCCCACAGCGGCCGAGGGGAGAGGGGGTTGGGGGTCGGGGTTGCGGATTGGGGTTCCGGAACCCTGACCCTACCCTCTTGAAAAGAAAAAAAGTTAAAAATAAATAAATTCGGGGGGTCGTTTTTTGTGTGTGGAAAAAAAAAAAAGAAAAAAAAAATTGATTGATTGACTGTTTTTTTTATTGATTGATTGATTGGTTGATTGCTATGTAACACCGGCGGCTGTGGCCGCGGGCCACGGCCGCGAGCCTGCGGTCATGGCTGTGGCGACCGCGGGCTCTCTCTCTCTCTCTCTCTCTCTCTCTCTCTCTCTCACACACACACACACACACACACACACACACACACACACACACACACACACACA